GAACGGATCACGTCTGGAATGGGTAAAAATATCCAAAAATGAGAAAAATGACCCAAAAGATCCTGAAATTATCCCAAAAAAATATCCCGAAAATATAAAAAAAAAAATCAGCCCAAAAATACCCCAAAATGAGCCCAAAATGAGCGCAGGCCCCGCCCCCAGAGCCCCGCCCCCACCGCGGAGCGGATCACGTCTGGAAGGGGTAAAAAATATCAAAATTAAATAGAAATAACCCAAAATAATCCAAAATTATATCAAAATTATATCAAAAATATATCCTGAAATTATCCAAAAAAACCAAAAAAAATCAGCCCAAAAATACCCCAAAATGAGCGCAGGCCCCGCCCCCAGAGCCCCGCCCCGACTGCGGAACGGATCACGTCTGGAAGGGGTAAAAAATATCCAAAAATGAGAAAAATGACCCAAAAGATCCTGAAATTATCCCAAAAAAATATCCCGAAAATATAAAAAAAAATCCCAAAAATATCCTGAAATTATCCCAAAAAATCAGCCCAAAATGAGCACAGGCCCCGCCCCCAGAGCCCCGCCCCCACCGCGGAACGGATCACGTCTGGAATGGGTAAAAATATCCAAAAATGAGAAAAATGACCCAAAATGTCCTGAAATTTTTCCAAAAAATCAGCCCATAAATATCCCAAAAATAACCGAAAATATACAAAAAATAAACAAAAAAATACACAAAAAATCACCCCAAAAATATCCCAAAAACCCCAAAATTCCCCCAATTTCACCTAAATTTTTCCCCAAATGCCCAAATTTTTCCCAAAATACCCAATTTTCCCGAAATCCCCAGATTTCCCCCCAAATTGCTCTCACAGCGTTTGATCCGGGGTTGCTCCCCGAAGGGCGGGGCCAGAAACGCCTCCCGGAAGAACCAAACGACGTTAACAAGCCACAGGAATGGCAACAGAACAAATCCACCTGGAATGATTGATTGACAGCTGTCAGTCATTGATTGACAGGTGAGGGACACGCCCACTGACAGCTGAGCACAGCCACAGGAACAGCAATGGAACAAAACCGCCTGGAATGATTGATTGACAGGTGTCAGAGAGTGATTGATTGACTGGTGAGTGACTGAATGACAAGTGATTGATTGATTGACAGGTGAGGGACACGCCCACTCACAGCTTAGCACGCCCACAGGAACGGCAACAGCACAAATCCATCTGGAATGATTGATTGACAGGTGTCAGAGAGTGATTGATTGATTGACAGGTGAGTGATTGACAGGCAAAGGACACACCCACTGACAGCTGAGCGCAGCCACAGGAATGGCAACAGAACAAATTCGCCTACAAATGATTGATTGACAGGTGTCAGTCATTGATTGATAGGTGGGTAAATGATTGTCAGTGTCAGTGAGTGATTGACAGGTGTCAGTGATTGACACGTGAGGGATTGACAGGTGAGGGACACAGCCACAGGAACGGCAACAAAACAAATCCACCTAAAAATGATTGACAGGTGTCAGTGATTGATTGATTGACAGGTGATTGATTGATTGATTGATTGATTGACAGGTGATTGATTGATTGACAGGTGAGAGATAGACACAGGAATGGCAACAGCACAAAATCGCCTGGAATGATTGACAGGTGTCAGTGATTGATTGACAGGTGAGGGACACAGCCACAGGAAGGGAAACAGCACAAAACCACCCGGGAATGATTGATTGAAGGGTGTCAGTAATTGACTGATTGATTGATTGACAGGTGAGGGACACGCCCACTCACAGCTTAGCACGCCCACAGGAACGGCAACAGCACAAAACCACCTGAAATGGGTGATTGACAGGTGTCAGTGATTGATTGACAGGTGAGAGAGTGATTGACAGGTGGGATTGACAGGGGAGAGTGAGTGAGTGATTGATTGACAGGGACACAGCCACAGGAACGGCAACAGCACAAAACTGCCTGGAACAGTGATTGACAGGTGCCAGTGATTGATTGACAGGTG